GCAATACAGTCAGTCTAATTAAAATGAATAGACTGCCATAACGCAACACGCATTAATGCGTTAATAGTGCATGTGCAGTAACACAACACAGTCTAAATGGGCCCATAAAGCATGTTGGAACATAAAACTTGTTAAAATTGCATGTATTTTCAATCATAAAAAATTTAAGGGCTTAATGCAAAAGCAGGTTTTAAAATGATGAGCTGTTAAATTCACTAACTACAGTAAACTCCCCATTATTCGGCATCCACAGGGATTGGCAGATTCCGGATAAATGTAGTTTCTGGCTGCTTGAGAGTTACTATTAAAAATAAGTCTAACTAATGCCATACCCCATACTATACCATATCATAACATAAACTCTGTATTGACTTCCTAATAATATTGAAATGCAGTAATCAAAAGCAAATTAGGACAAATAGGCACACAATTGTTTCCAGGATAATACATGGTGCAGAGCAGTGAGTACACATGGGATTTTTTTTCTGGTTATATGAGAGTTCTGGTTAGTTGAATACCGGATAACGGAGAGTTTACTGTATATCCAGTTTTCATGTTTTATTACTTCCAATGGTAAAGCAGTTAATACACAGTCCAGATCCCATGCTAGTCAGTGTCTTGATGACCTACAGCAGAGCTTATTTAGTTAAGGGAAGATCCAAATGTATAATGGAAACTCTGCTTTTCCTAACTGAAGTTTATCATCTAGGACATCTGTGGTGAGGGAAAGTGATTAATATGGGTCATTTTTTTTAATTCCACTTAATATGCTTAGCTTAGATCCATGAGTGATATTTTTTAAACAGCAAGGGGCTGATGTATGAACTAGTGTCGCTAGATGGAGCTGAGGAGTATAGAAATTCCTATGCTCCTCAGCTCCATCTACCAACAGAAATGCCGCGCAAGTTGGGCAAAGGCTTTATACATCAACCCCGAAAGGCAAGTCGGCAGTGGTAACTTCAGTATAGGGTTCTCTTAAAATGAAGGTGGTATGGGGGTGGAACAGTGTTTTCAAATACACAATTGATATGTTGTTCAGTAATCCCGTAGAAAAAAACTAAGAAAGAGGCTGCACAGAATTGCTGCAAAAATAGCGACTTCTACACAAAGCTAGTAGAGTCCTGTCCTGCATCAAGAAGGGAATGTTTTGCAGGGATAAGTCTATAATTTTGCATTCGGCCTCACCTGGAGTATGCGGTGCAGTTTTGGGCACCGGTACACAGAGGGGATGTTCTTGAACTGGAGAAAGTCCAGCGGAGGGCGACCAAACTCATCAAAATGATGGAGGACCAGAGCTATGAGACACGGCTACTACATTTAAATATGTTCACGCTGGAAGTAAGGAGATTAAGGGGGGACATGATTTTCATGTACAAAATGTTCTATAGTCATAGCGACATTAGCAACAAACTCTTTAAGAATAATTCCGTAACAAAGACTAGAGGCCACCACCTGAAACTGGTAGAAAAAAAATTCAAACACAAGGGGCGAAGGGGGGTTCTTCTCAGTTCGAGCGGTTAGGGTCTGGAACTCGTTGCCACAAGCAGTGATTTCAGCTAATAGTGTGGAATCATTCAAGAAGCTTTTGGACGATTTCCTGAGAAACGGTAATATACAGGGGTACCAGTACTCCTAATAACGAGATGACTCAGGGACCTATACACACACACACAATAGGTTGGACTTGATGGACATGTGTCTTTATTCAACCTCAAATACTATGTAACTATGTAACTACACAAAGCTGTAAAAAAAAATCTACAGGCTTTTGCTTTTTCATTGTGCATGTACCGTAATATGTTTTTGGTGGTCCTTTATCTTTTATTGTTAGGCTGGTGATAACCTATGAAGCAATAAAACAATATCTTAACTGATATTTTGTGACAGAGTTGACTTTCTTTAGTACATGGTGTATAGTTTCTCATCCTGAGGTCTAGGTAAACTGGATAGACTTCCAGTATATTAGAAACCTATAGCAACTAATGTTTAACTATTTTCTTTTCTGTGGAGCCTCTTATCCTCACATGTAGTAGTAACACCTTGCTGCATTTATTATTCATTTATTATAGTCTATTACTAGGTTTGACTATCCAGACACTTACATTTTATCTCCTGTTCTACTTTTCTGTTTGTGTAAAGAACACATTTATTTTTTTATAGAAAACAGTATTAGTTTGAAGAAATGTGTGGTACATGAAGAGCACTCTAAAGAGGGTAGAATTAGTTCTAGGAATACATATTTTTATATCTTTTATAGATATAGTTATTTAGAAAAGTAAGACAATCAGGTTTCCATAAAGGTCTACTGTGAAATGTGTTTTTACATTTGTCCTTAAGGAGCAACAACATCTAAAACATCTGTCATTACCTACCACCATCACAGAAAGTCGTGCTTCCTGAACTTATCTGAAAGTCTGCAAAACACTGGCTGCTCCATGCAGAGATGCTGTCCAAGTGGATTACCTAATGGCTGTTTTGTTCTAAATTGACTAATTTTGACAATCATTGGCCAGCATCTTTGAAGGTGCATCTAATAATAATAATGATGTCTTTGCAAATACAGTCTACAAATGGTGATCTACACCTCAAGTTATACAGCTAGTATTGATACGTCTCTTTTTAATATGCCTCACCCATTTAGTAGTTCACATGGTTGCTTCCCCGGAAATCTTTAAATAACATTCACAGTTTAAAGGTTGTTGGTCAGATGCGTGTCCTATTAAAGTTAGGCATTGTGACATCTTGACATTTCTTCTGGATCGTCCTTTGCCAAGCTGCGGATACTTAAGTCTGTGCATCTTCTATAGCCAGAAAGTTACACTCAATGTCAAAGACAAAAATAACCTGCCATTTTAGTGCCAGATGAGGTCAAAGTTCTAAGTGGAGTCCAGTTTCAAATGCCACGCATAAATAGATAATACCTTTGACCTTTGCAATTAGCACTATGTAAGTGAACCTGTTTTTAGAAATAATCATATGCCACTATTTAGTCTCCTCTCTGTGTCGGTCGGAAAATGTATTGGTGACCTTCATAAAAATTCATATAGAATCTTTAATTCTCCACATTTAAAACTGATCACTATAATCAGAAGGTATATTTTTATGTAGCAAGGGAATGACTATCCAAATGTATTTTCCAAGCTTAAACAACATTTTTCACATAAATATATTTAATATACACTATATGGCCAAAAGTTTGTGGACTCCTGACCATCACACCTACTGTATGACCAAACGAATGTGCTCACCTCTCCAAAGTTATGAATTCAGGTGTTTCTAGTGAAGGGTACTGATAATGCTACAGCATACAAGGACATTTTAGACAATTGTGTGCTTCCAACCTTGTGCCAACAGTTTTGGGGAAGGCTCTTTCTGTGCCCACATGATTGGGCACCTGTGCTCAAAGGCAGTCCATAAAGACATGGTTTGATATGGAGTAACTTAAGTGGTCTGCACAGAGCCCTGACCTCAATCCTATGGAACATATGGATTTGAAGGCCAATTGAAAGCCAGGTTGTCTTGCCAATAGTAGTGTCTTCACCGCACGCTCCCGTCTGAACATCTGAATAGTCTTGGGCGACTGCAAAGGATCTTGGAGCGTGCGCATGCGCAGTTCAGATGTTCGGCCGGGAGACGAGGAAAGACACCAGGTAAGTTTATGGAGCAGCGCACACCCGCACAGACTCCGTGGGACATCAGAGGAGAGGAGAACAGAGTAGTCAGCGCTGGATCGGAGACCCACAGCAGCGCTGGAGGGACATCTGGAAACAACAGTAAAGAAGAAGATGATCGGCTTAAGAGGCATCATTTAAGGTAAGTCCTTACACTAACATGGGGGGGGGGGGATATCCTTTAATGTCACTTTAACTGAACAAATTCAAAAGAAATACTGATTGGTTGACATAGACAACTGCTCCAGATTCCTTCGGCTCCAGTTTTGATAAATCCCCCCTATGTAATAAAAACAGAGGGAGTAGTAGCATATTTTTGCAGCAAATCTATGTGGAAGCCTTACTGCCTGTCAAGGCCCCTCTGTATAGTGTGGTCCCTAATCTAACAATGCTTCCTACCTGGGACATGCACAACAATAAACAAATTAAAGGCAGGTATGCCTACCGTGTTTCCCCGAAAGTAAGACCTAGTTCGGGGGAGGTGTCATATTACAGACATGCCTGAAGATAGCGCCAGGTCTTACCTTCGGGGTAGCTGCACATGTAATTACATTTCACATGTGAAGACCGGCCGCAGCTCCCTCCCGCCCCCTCGCCCGTCCACCTACCCGCACGCTGTCACGCATGCCCGCCCACCTGTGTTTCTGTTTGTGGCTCCCTGGACGGCAGAGCAGACAGCAGCAGCCAGGTAAGACATCCCCCGAAAATAAGACCTAGTGTCTTTTTTCGTGAAAAAAAATAAATAAGACAGTGTCTTATTTTCGGGGAAACACGGTAGAGGTAACCAATTCCTCCTTAAAGGTGTAGATACACACTAGGAGCCCAGCACAACACACAGGTAGCTAAAGACCTCCAGTAAGTCTCCGCAATCCTAAACTAGGTCTTTACAGCAAGGTGCACGTTTTCAGCACAATTGCCAGCCTGTCAACAAAAGAATTCAACACTATGTGAGTGTCCCAGGAAAGGGTTGCATAAATATGTTGGCGGTGCTGGTTTGTATCTAACTATCCAGTCACACAGACACTTTTACTACATACTTGTTGATGGATCTAAATGAGATTGTAATGTGTGATGTAAGCATTAGGTTGGAGGTCAGTATTGCAGCAACTGTGACAATGGTTGAGCTTTCCTGCAACCTTTGCAGAGCATGGAAGAGCATGCTTCTATGCTTGCCCCTTTCCTATAATGACCTCTAAATTTGTTTTCAAGCTATATTGGTAGTGTTAATAGAGCTAAGACAGGCTGGGAAAGTATTTTTGTCAGGCTAGGAAATATTCTTTAAAAGAAGTGTTTGTTTTGCCTTTATATTAAACTCTTTGTTGTCTGCAGGGTGGTACAGTAATAGGAAGTGCTCGATGCCAGGATTTCCGAGCTCGTGAGGGTCGTCTTAAAGCAGCATGCAACCTTGTAAAGAAAGGAATTACCAACCTATGTGTCATTGGTGGAGATGGCAGTCTGACAGGAGCAGATACTTTCAGAGCAGAGTGGAGTGGACTTCTCACTGACCTAGTGAAAGCAGGTAAAGCTGTGACACTGTGTCCAATCTGTGCCAGTAAGTCTACTGTTAAACTAATTCTGAACCGCTTTCTTTACAGCCTTTGTATTGGGCTATAAATCTGATTTTAGGATTTTGTTCTGCAAAATAAACTCCACCCAAATGAGGTTCTTTTTGAGCCGAGTCGTTTGTCAGCTTTTTCTTTTTATGCGCTTTCAGTGGTAAGATTTTTCTTATGATAGAATTTTTCTTGCCACTGCCACAGGGTACAAAGGTGCCGATCTCCTGCATCTAGACTACATATTTTTCTTTACATGTTTTTATTAAGTTTTAAAATAACATATCCAAACATTTACACGTGTTAAATATGAGCCTTATAAATTGAGGTATTACGTATAATAAAATTGTTAATACATTTCTAAATATATAATGAGTTTATAAACATTCTGGGGGGGGGGGAATGAGAAAGGGATAATTCTGTGAAGATTTCCTGTGAGAAAAACAAATTAGTGATTTTGGAATGTATAAAAGTGAGTTAGTTATAAGAAATATCTTTTGTTGGTATGGAAATATATGAAATTAATAAAGTATGATGGTAAATTAATACTTTTTTGGGGGGGGGGAATGAAGTGACGAAATTCTATGTTTTGTACAGTAATTTTACATCTTTCTTTTTGATACAGTATAATTTATCTAGTGTAATATGGTCAAAGATACTCTTCCATCCTTTGAGCATGGGTGTTTTATTTGTTATTCAATATTCATGTATCAGCAACTATAAAAGCAGAAACAATCTTATATAGAGTTTATTAAAAGAATTTAATCGATAAACACTTGCCCCTCTTTTTTTTATCTTGGATGGAGACCTGACCTTATATTCTTATATTTGGGGGGTGCACAAAAGCTTTTGTAACAGAGGTGGAAGTAGTTCTATAACAGGTTTGAGAATTGGCAGTGTTGGAACAGGATAGTAAGTCTTAAGGAAGAACTATACTTTGATTTTTTGTTATATAATATCATCTTCAATTTGTGAGAGTTTAAAGAAAAATTAACAAAAATCGAAGATAAACAATGTTGTCCTTCTGTGTTCAAATATTCATACATTTGACAGTTAAAAGGTTTAACAGTCGGGTAAACTAGGTTGTTAGTTATTAAGGAGACAAGGAGGGAAGAACAGGAGTGTGGAGAGGGCCAAGGGGGCTCGGAAAGCAAGGAGAGATATAACACTAAACATCATGGGTAAGAATATCGTGGTGCAAACTTGGGATGCACCAATATATCGTCCACCGAAACATATCAGGCCGAAAATGGCACTTTTGGCATAATGCGGAAAGTGCCATTTTCCTGCCGATACATCGGCACATCCCTGCTTTCTTTCCTCCCCGCTGGGGGCTGCTCTATGTCCCAGCGGGGAGAAGAGAAAGTGACAGCCGGCTGTGCGCTGCGGTGGAGAGCACTGTGAGCGGCCGGCGTCTCCTCCCACACCGCTCTGCCGCCTATCACAGTCCGGCAGAGCGGTGTGTGGGCGGAGACAGCGATGTCACAAGAGGCGGGGCTTTCCTCTCTACACCGCTCGATCAGCCTCCTGTGACAGCGTGTCAGAGAGAAGAGCAAGGTACACACACTCAGCGATCAGCGATCACTGAGTGTTTGTACATAATTGAGCTGTTTTAAAATTTCCATTTCGGTGCACCTCTAGTACAAACCAACTGTGCGATATTAATCTTCAATTATATCCAAAATTATATGTATGCCAAACATGAAAAAAACACTAAGGAACAGGTAAGAGGTACAACCTTCATACCCATACAATTATGACTACCATCATGGAAAATCACTCACAGGGAGCATGACACCATCTTGTGGCTTAGCAATGGCTGCCACAGTGGGGTAGAGCTTTGATGTACAAAGTCAAAAGTCCGTTTTTTGTATGGGACTTGTGGACAGGGAGTATTTTAAAATCTGCTTTCTATAGTCATTTATAAGCCCTACTAGCCTAGGAGAGGTCTGTGATCTGACTACAGAGTATTTAACTGCCAAGCAGTTACAGTGCTGCATGTATTATGTACAAATTAAATGTATATGTCTTCCTAGGGAAAATATCATCTGATGAAGCCAACAAGTCTAGCTTCCTGAATATCGTTGGTATGGTGGGTTCCATTGATAATGACTTCTGTGGCACAGATATGACTATTGGAACTGATTCAGCTCTTCACAGAATTATGGAGATAGTGGATGCAATTACTACAACAGCACAAAGGTAGCTTGAGTCCTGCATTTATCTTCCCCTGTCTGTAATACATTATTCTGTTGATAAAAGTAACTTTAAGTATTGTTCTATTGGAAGGGTCAGTTTTAAAGCCCATATACAGGTAAAAAGGACCAACACTGCATGGTTGGCTCCTTGTTAACCTCCTTGGTGGCATTCCTGAGTGTGGCTCGGGGGTAATTTTCTGTACCATAAGCTGTAACCCTGAGCTATTATCTTCTGCATTTACAAATTGTCTTATATTTTATGCTATAGAAAACATATGTTCTTGGTAGCAGAGACATTGGGGAATTCCAAACGTAAGCTGTAAAAAAGTGCCAACTCTGAGGTTATTTGTTCCAAATCTATAACCTTTTTTGTTACAGCTCAATTAAGTACTGTCTGTGATACTTTTTATATTTGTACTAACAAGTTATTTTTCAGGACAACCTTTTGGTGGTCTTACCTCACTTTTCTTGGTCAGAGCAGCACTGATACCCAAAGGTTTAGCAGAATGTTAAGACCAATCTGCAAAGCCAACAATCCAAAAAAGAGAGGCTTATACCAGCTGAGGAGTAGAGAATTGGCCTAATGGAAGGGGAGGGGGTAAGAGTACAATAACACAGTGCATGTGATGTAGGTACATGTGGTACCTAAATATATTCCAAGACATTTTCTATCCCTGAGAAAATGTGGAAAACCCCTTTCTGTCCCTAATCACTATTTTATTAGGCTTCCTATACAGCTAAATCACTGCTCTGGCGGTGTGGAGGGCTTTGCACATGACAGTTTCCTCTGGGTGTGAAAAAGCAGACATAACACAGTAAATCAGTAGTCCGTATGGCTGTTGGGCTTATTTAATAAGGACGTCTTGGAGACACAACAGGAAGCAAATGGAAAATGTCCCCAGAGTGAGGAGAATTCCCAATTTAAACTGGCCATAGACAGATTGAACTTTGGGCGTTTCCTGCTAAATTGCCAGCACCACCACCTGGCTCAAAAGTTGAATTTTTCATTGACTTTTGTTGAACTAGTCGGGTGGAAAATTGTTGGCCAAACAGTGATTGCAGCCAATTAGCTGAAGTCACTGCTGGGGTATTCTGAGCGTTGCAGGCGCTGGCTGTGTACAGTAGCTTGCACGTGATATTCCTCCACTCACGCTGTTTAGGGTGGATAGGGGATTCAAAAGATTTAAATAGATTTCACATTTCATTGTTGAAATTTTCAAACCTGACATTATGTTCCATACTAATAGTCATATTAAAAAAAATCATAGTAAATTGCACTTTCACCAAACAATCACTGGTGGTGAATCAGTCACTATCATTTAAATCCAATGTGCCTGGATAATTAACTGCTTTGTAAATATGCCCATTACTATGATGAGCAGTCTCGCTGACTGATAGAGACACGCATGGGCTAAAGTGCTAAAGTCCCAGTTAAAGCCAGTAATTGCAAAATAAAAGATTTCTGGATTTCAAGTCACCAGGACTCTTTAGAGGAAAGCTGAAACTACATAATGCCTGCAATTATATGCAAGCAATGTTGTACTACATTTAATTGCACCGTTTCTATAACCACTTGCTGCCGCCAGCCATACATAAATGGCTGGACGTGCGTCTTTTAGATGCAGGTGGGCGCATTCAGCTGTCATTCTCTGGCTGCAGAAGCCGAAGGGAAGCTGGATAAGCAGGTGTCTGCTTTGAGGGTCCCTAGGTGACATTAGGGGTCTTAGACCTCTGATGTCTCCTTAAAGAGGACCTGTCACTGTAATTTGCTATCTTCTTAGCCCCCTATGTCATAGCTATAAAGTTAAGTGTAAAAAAAAAATTAATCGCATAAAAAATGTTTTTAAAAAATACAAAATTTTTTTTTAAGTCTCCCGCTACTGCATACACACTCAAATATGCGTCAGGTGGGCCTTTGTGCGAAAACGATGATTGCGCCGCACAGATTACATATCATCGCGAACATCAGAGTGAGAGCAATAATTCTAGGGCCATCAATCATTGTTAACACTAAATTGGTGAGCTGTAAAAGCTTTTTAAGCGCCGCCTATGGCCAATTTTGAGTGTGGTTGTTTTTTTGCGATTTCTCGGGCATGCGCAATTTCGAGGCTTGACAAGTTTGGTATCTATTTAACCGACGTGACCCCATCTTTTATATTTGACCAAAAAATTGGGTAATAATAATTGTCTCATAACATAATAAAGGAAAAAGGAGGATTTTTTTTCAACATTTTTGGTACTTTTTTATTGTTGTATAGTAAAAAATAAAACCCGTAGTGGTGATTAAATACCACCAAAGGAAAGCTCTATGTGTCCCCAAAAATAGTATAAATTTCATTTCAGTACAGCGTTGCATGACGGAATAAATGTCAGTCAAAGTACCTCAGCGCTAAATACTGAAAAATGGCCTGGACAGGAAGGGGGTGTAAACACCTGGTCTTCAAGTGGTTAAAGAAGAACTCCAGTTAAAGATGTTATTAACTCTTGCAATGGGGCTACCCCCGTCTGGGAGCACCTAGACACAAATGAGCACTTAACTCCAGCAGTGTTGCACCACTGTAAGGGTTAAAACATTTTTTCATGGCGTTTTTCTTTAAGATGAGGTAATGTGTATGTTTTCATGTTCAGTTTGACAAAAACATTTTGCATACTGTGTAACATTAAAAAAATGATAATTCTTGTTTTACTTCTTATTTTTAATTTAATTTTCTTGATTCTTATTTTTCTGCAATAAGGATATCTGAGACAGGATGTTTTCTGGCAAATAATATGGAACCAGGACAATAATCAGAACTTGGGTTGTGCATGTCTGTGGTTATTTTGCCAATGTCCTGGTTTTGCAGTCATAATTAGAAATGAATGAAACTGAGACAATCCATTCACCAGTAGCTTATGTATTGCACTCTGTGATCTAGGTAGCTGGTTTAGAGTGAGGGAGCCAACTGATTGGCTGAAAGTTGTGGATATTCATTACCTGTGATATGTGCTGATTTTCAGTACTTTCTGAGTTCACCCAATCCAGTGAAGTCACCTTTAGCCATACAGCCACCCTTCACATGCCATGACATGTAGCTCTACTGATTTGGCTAAAACACCTTGAAGTAACTTACATAATACGGACTGCGTTTTGGCTTTTTGTTTAAATCGCAAAGAGAACTAATTCACATCAAATGTTCCTTTGCAGTCACCAGAGGACCTTTGTTCTTGAAGTGATGGGTCGCCACTGTGGGTAAGTTCTTTTATTTGCAAATACTGTTGATATCCAATTAGTCCAGACACAGGATATTAAATTTGAATTATATTGTTATGTGTGTAATATATAGACACACACACTATATACTGTATATGTTTATGGTTATATGTTCTTACTCTATTCCACTTTAAACTGTCACAAATTATAGATACTTGGCTCTAGTAACAGCTCTGGCTTGTGGAGCAGATTGGGTTTTTATTCCAGAGTCTCCACCAGAAGAAAACTGGGAAGAACATCTCTGCAGAAGATTAACTGAGGTATTGCAAGTTCTGTTCTTCTTTACTTTGATGATTGATTATCTTGGGTAACCTGCCATGTAACTCGAAGGCTCCTCTTCACCCTGGCATATGCGCTGCCCATTCTGCTCAGGCTTTTGCATAGAATAGAACACAGGCTGCAGTTGCTGTGGACAGGCTAATGTAGCTGATTGTCCAAGGCATGGGATCGGGGATACAGTCAGATCAAATATTTTTAAAATATTTATATAAATCATCAGCTACAAAGTATTCTGAATCACTGTATTTACAATATAAAATTAAAAACTAGAGGAAATCCATTTTGTTTTATAATTTAGATGTTTTGTTTTAGTGTCATTTTGTTGTAAATGGCTGAAAGCCAACGTTAAGACAAAACTCTTAAAGGAGATTCTTTATTGGGGACTCAACATTAAAAACCTGACAAAGATACTCACAGTTCCTCACTGTCCACAAAAATATAAGAAAAACATTTGCCCATAGTTGGGCTTTGAAAGCTCTTACATTTTTATTGCAACATTAGATGGGGAAGAAGTTGTTAAAATTTGAGGATTTGTTATGTGGAGATTGTTATGAAGTCCACTGATGATGTTTTTTTGTAATCAAGTGTAGTGAAATAGGACAGTATGATATGTATGTGCATTTCCTACAAAGATTTGTAAATGCATGCATTAGAAAGTTTTCTGCAGTGCCCTCTTCTGGTAAATGAGCTAACAGCATTGTGCTTTTTCAGACTAGAGGTCGTGGATCAAGATTAAATATCATTATTGTTGCTGAAGGTGCTATTGACGTGAATGGTAAAGCTATTACATCTGAAGATATTAAAAATGTACGTACTACAAAAAAAAAATGACTGGAACTATTTGAACTTCAATACTGAATATTCAATGATAGACATGGCATAGGATAAGCAGGAAGATTGCAATATTGATGACATACCACAAAATAAATGATTAAATCTAACAATTTATGTCAACTGTTTAACAGCTGGTTGTAAAGCGCCTTGGTTATGACACAAGAGTCACCATTCTTGGACATGTTCAGCGTGGTGGAACACCTTCAGCGTTTGACAGAATCCTGGTAAGAGTGGTCATAATTTTAGATCTAATGTCTCTGCAAACTATATACCATCTAAACGATCTACATTCGTATTGATTTGCTAGTTGCCAGGTGTGTGTCTGCAGTCATACAGCAGAGGTACACAACTGTGTGTATTTCCACACAGCACCAACACTTGTTACAAGTGTTTGAAATTCCTGTGCCAGGGATTAAAATAAGTAATAAACAATATTTGCATGCTGACTGCTTCTCTTAAATTTGGAGTTATTATTTATACCTTATTTTTGTGGGTCCACTAAGGTGATTGTTGAATTTTCTAGGGAAGTCGAATGGGTGTTGAAGCTGTCATGGCTTTGCTAGAAGGTACACCAGACACACCTGCTTGTGTGGTCAGCCTGTCTGGAAATCAAGCAGTCAGACTGCCATTAATGGAGTGTGTTCAAGTGGTAAGTTGTTCTGAATATTTATTACTTCAAATATGTTACATGGGCTTGTACAGTTATGCAGATGCCACATGGACAAGATCTGGACAGTATCTTGTTATTGGGTGTGTATCGCTATGTGGGGAATAGGTATACCCTAGCCCATTATGTTTTAGATGTGGATTGTTTTTGCATTTAATAAACTTTATTCTTCAAAAAAATAGTCATACAAAAGTCACATTTACAAAAAGGTTATATTGTCTACCCAAACAAGGATTAATTGGTCCTGGCATAGTTTGGAGAAGGGCAACTTACTGATAGAGTAACTACCTATATAGTAGAGTAGCTACCTAGGAGTACTGTTATTTACAGTACGTAGGCATGACTTCTTATAATCTTTTTTTTCTTTTTTTACAGACCAAGGATGTGACTGCAGCCATGCATAATAAGAAATTTAATGAAGCTCTTAAATTAAGAGGAAGGTAAATGCATCACATGAAAAGCAAGTCCCTGATGATGAATCTGCACGGCCTGCAGACAATTTAAAACAAAGTCATGCAGAGGACTACCTATGCCTGCATCTACTTACTCTGCAAATGCTATCACCTCATAATGTACTGCTAAACTTAACCAATTTACATTTCATGAATAATGAATAATACCACCTTTTGCAAAAAATTGTAGTAATGTATGTTAGGTAGCCTACCTACATCTAACAGATTGTGTTTTCTCTATTTTTTTTTTTTTTAAATCCCCTTCAACACATAGAAAATACTGTTTGATTCTGCCTGCAGATCTCTTAGTTGAGCACTTCCTTTAGTAGGCTAAATCCACTATTCCACAGGCAATATATGCACCACATTGACAACCATTTGACTGAAAAAATGAAGCCTTTAGTTGTACTTTTTTACTTTTTACTTTCTGGGGGGCACAACAATCACGCTCTGCTCACACTTGAATGTTTTAAGTTGCTCTTCTTTTTTTTTTGGTATCTTAATTTATTTATTTTTTTCGTGGCGTGTTTTTTTTTGCTTTTGCCTCTCTCATCACTGTCCATTCCTCCACCACCAGCTTGTTCTCCTCCACCTTCCTTTCTAAACCTAAGGGATATTTACACGTTCAGAATTCCTGCAATACACATGTGCATTTCATCCCTGTGAGACTGGTTCACATATATGCTTTGAACCTAAGTTTTTGGTTTTTTTTGTGTGGAAAAAAAACAGGACATGTAGTATTTGTATGTGTTTATATGCATTAACAGTGTCGTAGTGGTTAGTGCATCTGCCTTGCAGCGTTAGGGGTCCCTGGGTCGAATCCCAGCCAGGTCACGATCTAGTTTGCATGTTCTCCTTTGTGGGTTTTTTCCGGATACTCCGGTTTCCTCCCACACTACAAAGACATGCTGGTAGGTTAATTGGCTCCTGTCTAAACTGGCCCTTGTATGTGTGTATGTATGTGGCATGGGGACCTTAGATTGTGACCTCCTTGAGGGCAGGGACTGCTGTGAATGTGCACTATGTAAAGTGCTGTGTAAATTGTCATCGCTATATAAATACCAATAATAATTAAGCGGATGCATTTAATGATAATTGCACAAAATGCATATATAATGCAGTTTGTATGTTTTTAAACACATCTGTACTGTTTAAAATCCCCTTTGTAAATGTTTCTTCCTCACTGCAGAAAAAATGCACATTTAAAATGTTTACAAATTTGCATAAACACACGTAGTAATGCACATTAGTAATGGTTGTTACTGCATGGAAGAGCCCTAATAAAGCAAAATGTCATCTGGAACACACTGCAGCTCCATTCAGCTGACCATGGTACCCTGGTAACTGATAAATGATCTTTTAAATAATTGGATATGCACATGAGATTCAGAAACAAATTAGACATGATCCTCATGTACAATAAACCTTGTGTTTATAAGAGGCAATTACTTATTATACTAACTTCTTTCCACAGGAGTTTTGAAAACAACTGGAGTGTCTACAGGACATTGGCTCACGTAAGGCCCCCTTCCACAAAGGTAAGCAATATACATGTAATTATAAATTGAACCATTTAAAATATGTAGGATCTGTGCAAGGCAGCTGTTGGGTACAGATTTTACTTTACAGAATAATGTATGCTTTTTGTCATGTGGTCTTCACTTCAACAAGACACTTCCGGTGCGGGATGGACTGGCTTTGATTAACCATAGCATTGTGCATTAAAGGGTCCCTCTGTGTAAATGTTGGTGTTTACATTGTTTTTAATCTGGTATAGTAAATTCTATATGTTATGTAACAGTTTTGGCAACTGTGTATAGTTGAGTTGATCACTGTTATGAGCAGCAAAAAGTGAAAGGGTGAATGAGAAATTAGTGTATTAAACTAATGAAAATCTCCTTATCGTGCTCATGAACTTATTACACAGAACATTTAGCGTTCTCTTCAGCTGCAGCTGTTCTTTTGGAGTTCAACTGACTATGACAGCTGTTTGAAGCTTTGAGTATTGTTTAGGGATTAACATCTGTTGAAAGATCCCTTACCCCCTCTAGGAGTATTTTGTGTGTTTGTGACCACAATGAGACTGGCTTCTTATAGGTCTCAGTATAATGAGCCAGTCTTACATATTTTTTTATATATTATTCGGACAGTAATATTTCTTTCCCATAAAACTCCAATTTTGTTACTGTTTATCTGGGCGTTTTTAGGGTTCCTGCCCACCCTTGTGTGCACCAGGTCCATATAGTATGTTCTCCATAGTATAAAATGAAAAATCATACAGGGAACAGATGCTCTTAGACAGAGGCTTTCAACCTGTGCAACCTCAGAACCCACATTTGTCCTTGGTCATTAAGTTGTGACCCAAATTGCACTGCAATGGAACGCACGGCATTGCGGTACTGCGCGTTCTGGTGCGGGTAATCATAATGTGGTTGTGAGGTACCATTCAAATGAATGGCAACGCAACACACCTCCCACACCAGAATGCACGGTAAGTTCGATCGCGTGGTACAGTGAGTAAATTGCACGGTACTATGCCCCATCCCATCCAACCTCAAGATGACACTCAGCATTGGGCAGCATATTTTGAATGGTTGCTTGGTGCCATAACTGACTGCGCTGCGCTAGGGGGAGGCTGAGGAGCCTCTCAGCTAGAAAAGTGGAAGGCAGACGGCGACCCATTGAACACGGGGTCATGACCCACCAGTTGAGAACCAAGGCTCTAAGAGATATAAAACAATTACAGGAGGATTAACTCTCTACTATCCAAAGCTGAAATTAACCTTCAATTTGTTTCAGCTTTATTTCTGTTTCTTTTTGTTTTTTAATAAGGTAAAACATCTGTGTGTGCATATGAAGTGCTAATAAAACATGATGTCAGTTGTGCTGCTGCAGTTACTATGTTAACTTTTCAACCGCAGAGTGGCTATAACTTGGCTATTCTGAATGTTGGTGCCCCTGCTGCTGGCATGAACGCGGCTGTGAGATCTACTGTCAGAATTGGCATTATCCAAGGCCACAGGATGTTTGCTGTACATGATGGATTTGAGGGCCTTGCAAAAGGACAGGTACTTTCTTTTATTTGTTGCATAAAAACCACCACAGTAATGCTGTAAATGGAATATATTAATCCCTTGCAGTCTAGTGCACAAAACTCATTGCTATATGTATCATGTAAAAAAAGGTTGTTGATTTGAATTCTCAGTGGCTGCAGACGGGCCAGATTTTTCCTTGAAATAACAAAGATGATGATGGCGCCAAAATATAATCATCTATTGAAGAAGGTTGATATAAAACCTGTCAGGTTTTTTCTTTTGCTCTATGGCTTTTAAAGAAGACGTCCAGGGAAAAAAATTCTTAACCCTTGCAGTGGGGTTACCTCCGCACTGCAAGGTTTAAGTGGTCGTTTTGGCCTAGGTGCGAAAATTGTAAAAAGTTATACTCTCCTGAACCTCACAGCCAGATGGCTGTTAGACCGGTCCCTCCAGCCTCTCTCCACTCCACCGTTCTAAGGTCCTGTGAGTCATCACGTCCTATACACTGTGTATTATATGTGAGGACACCGAAGGACATACCATCGCTGCAGTGGAAGAGGAGACGGATATGAGCGTTGTCACAGCCCACTGGTTCGGGTGAGTATATCCTTGTTATTTTTTGAACCTAGGCAAAGACGAGCATTTAACCCTTGCAGTGCACTGCAAGGGTTAAGATTTTTTTCCCCCGGAGTTCTGCTTTAATGGAGAAATAAAAGCTAAGTTTAAAGAATGTCTGTTTCCAAGAAGAAGCACTTTATTCATAAATACATGATTTATGGTCCATTCTGCTAGCTGAACAGTAACATGGGAGAGTATATAGGAATTGCTGATATATATATTTTTTTTAAATAATAGATTAAAAAATTAATTTTAACTCCGTTATCATGTCATAATCATTTACGCTAGAACAACAAACAGTATAACATTTGTTTTGGTATATAAATGAAGAGTCTGTAAGTATTTGTAATAATGTAAACCCGATGATCTATATGTGAGACATGAATGCCATGTGTGTAATGGGAGCAAATCATCTTTTAAAAACACTACTAAAGAACAGGCACTAGGTGTCGGCAATAGGTTACGCAAACAGCATATGCTCTGGCTAATGTTCATAAGGCCCACCTGGTGGTGTATTGTGTTATACGTTATCGTTTGTAATCTAAATTTAAATGAGATGTTTAGTTGAGGTATTTTATTCCGCTAACATATGTCATGAACCGTAAAAATATTTAACAGCTGTATTTGAAAAACACATATATCTATAGTGAAGACATATTTCAAACATGAAGTTTGCATGCATGAATCTCTCAGTACGATTACCATTTCACAGAAACATAACATAGAATTTATATTTTTTTCTTTCACAAAAAATATATTTTACATTCTCAATGATAGATCGAAGAAATTGGATGGGGTGGTGTTGGGGGATGGACTGGACAAGGAGGATCCCGACTTGGAACCAAAAGGTGACTTTTATTTTTAATCTTTGAATTTATACCAAAACCATGGGAATCAATAACTGGTTGATCACAATCTACCTGTCAACTGCGGCAATCTGATGGATAGGAATCAACCCTGCCATACCAGACCCTGTCTGCCGCTTCTCAGACCTCAGATCAAAGCAACAATGTGAATGCAAGGTCAATCACCAGACCTAAGATTCAGCGGCGTCTGGGAGAGTGAGGGAAGTCCAACCAGGTCTCCCCTCGACTGGTTGCCGAGGGCAGAGCCGAGGGAAGTCCCAGATCTGAACTGTTATATGACGCAGTCGAGGGGAGACCTGGTTGGACTTCTCACTCTCCCAGACGCCGCTGAATCTTAGGTCTGGTGAGTGAATTTTTACAGAAGGAGGGGTGAATCCCAGATCTGAACTGTTATATGACACAGTCGAGGGGAGACCTGGTTCAACTTCCCTCACTCTCCCAGACGCTGCTGAATCTTACGCCTGGTGAGTGAAAGGAGGGGATGAATTTGTACTTATTACTGACCCCTGCACTTTGCAGTACTTACTACTAACCTTGGAACTCCATGTTGCTTACTGCAGACTCCTGCACTGTGCGTTACATACTACTGACCTCTGAACTTTGCGTTACTTACTTCTGGTCTCCTGAATTCTTCCAACCTTCTTTACTTTTTAATTAGGCCTTGCTAAGTTATTAATATGAATGCAAAACTTTGCGCACTGCTAATCACTCAGCAGCAAGCACTAATCCCAGTAAACCAGAATGTAAGTGAACAAATAGACAAAAAATGTGCCGCTCTCTCAACTCAATTAAAAACCTAATCCAATTCAATACACAAATGTATAATATGCTATGCGATATGTTACTGTAGCAAACTTGAAGTGCTTCACACAATGTATCATAATATATACATATATTCAAACAAACAAAGAGCCACAGTGTATACTTAGATAGTGGCGGTCCGTTTCAGTCACAGAGATCTATAATGCATAAAATTGTCCACTTGTGACCTTGCAAAAATAAAGTGAATCGTGCACTCGATACAAGGGTGAAAATAATTAACAAGTGATTAGGCAATTCTTTCATGTTCCTGGTGATTTCCACTTTCCACTCCCAATAGAATAAAGGTGCCCATACACCTTACGATTATCGGACAAAACTTTTCGTCCGATGATCGAATAGTCGTCTGATTTTCGTACGGCAGCCCCATCCTGCCCCGATGATCGCAAGATTAATTTAACTGTAATTAACTAAAAGCACCTGGACGAAATGCGGTAATTGATTTGCCGTATTTTCGTTAGCGCAAGCGCAGTGTAGATCGTACGACTTTTGACGGACGGAAACGCCAGCAACCTTACAAAAATCGTACGATCTAGCAAAGTTTTCAAACATGCTTGACCGTCAAAAGTCGTACGATTGTACAGTACTGTCGGTCGGACACTGCAATGCACACATACGATTATCGGCCGAAAAGTCCATGCAACCTTATATTATAAAGGTCTAGAAATGCCACTTTCCTTATTTCATCCCAGGCGGGAAGACACCCAAGGTTTTAACATATCAGACCGCCTCTTTTTCTTCCACTGTGAGGGTGATGTTCTCCAGTGATAAACACTCCCACTTAATATTGGCACTTTTTAGCAATTGGAGACAAAAGCAGGACACTCCATAGTGTACTTAATAAATTCATTGAAAGTTTAATAGGTTAAAACATACGCACAAACAAAAGTGATAAAACATCCAAAGAGATATCTCCTAAAAAATGGTGCAGCGCTGTCGTCTTTTGGTTTGCTCCTAAAACTCCTCCCAGCTTACGTTACGTCTATAGGACACGTGACTTCATCAGGGGTAAGAAGTTGGGAGAACCGAATGCCTTATAACTGATTACATTTCCTAGGGAACCGAGCATAATTGGTCATAGAGCTGCGCCCCTTGCCTGACATGTTTCACTGCTACTAAAATAGAGTTATATGGCATAAGTGATGTCTGCTAAAGCTCTACCTTAAATATGCTCCAAATTTTTTTAAATAATCTTATAGGTAAATATACATACCACTCAAAGACTAAAGCAAATAAAATGAGTATAAAATAAATATAAAACGAGCAGTGAATAAATATCCTGTTCAACCACTTCCAAAAAATCATTTTTCGTTCAGATAGAATAAAACAGAACGAGAAGCGGTGAATAATGTGGCTGAGGCATATGAATTCTTGCAACCTGATACATAAATATTATCCATACAGAAGAGACATAGTAACAAAATGCATATTATCATCTTCCAATAACTTATATCATGAATTACTAATATAACGATTAAGATCAAAACCTACGTTGAGACCTTCTAGTACCTGAGTTTTTGCTCTATAGATCCATTCTGTTTCTTTCATGGCTAATCTACGTTTAAAATGACGCCCTCTCCAATGTTTTAAGATGCGTAGAACCCCCGAAAATGTAAGGCATTTGAGATTTTTATTGTGAAATTTGGCAAAAGGCAAGAGTTATTCTATTGGGAGTGGAAGGGTGAAATCAACAGGAACATGAAAGAATTGCCTAATCACTAGGGATGCTCTGATACCAATATAAGCATCGGTATCGGCGGCGATACCGAGTATTTGCATGAGTACTTGTGCAAATACTCCGATACACAAAACGAGTACCTGTGCCGCGTCCGCCATCTTCAAGGACCCAAAACCGCTGCACACAGGACCTCCACAGCGTCTTCAATCAAACAAGATGGCCGCGAACTCCTCCTCCACGGCCGAAAGTAAACTCCGCCTCCAAGTCCTCACAGGTGAGGAAGCCTGTCAATCATCCAATCAGCGGGAGAAGAGGCCAGCATGGAGCAGATGACTAGGCTGTGACACGGAGTGGCTGAAGCAGACGGTGAAGACGACACAGCAGGTTAGTACTGCAGCACCGCATGGGGGCTGGGCACATGATGGCACAAAAATTGATTTTTTTAAAATATTATATGAAGTTAAACTTTAACTTCATATAATATTTTTTTTAAAGACATTAAATAAAGAAATAACTATGTAGATATTGCTAACTAAGGCTTGTATACCCATAGTGGGGAAAATATATGAGCACATATCCAGACTCCAGACCAGAACACTGTATAGTGTGGCAGAGCTATAGCCAATTCTGCATACCTGGCTTTATTAAAAAATTAAAAATGAATAATAATATAAAGCCAGTTATACAGAATTGGATATAGCTGTGCCACACTATACAGTGTTCTGGAGTCTGGACATGTGCTTTTTTTCCCACTATGGGGATACAAGCCTTAGTTGGCATTGCAATGGCATGATCTAAATATTAATTTAATTTAATTATTCAATGTCTTTTTTTATATTATACATTTTATAATATAGAAAAAAAGACACTGAATAATGAAATGAAAAATGTGACCTGTCCCTTTAAGAAAAAGTATCGGCGAGTACATGAAAAAAAGTATCGGCACTCGTACTCGGTCTTAAAAAAGTGATATCGGAGCATCCCTGCGTAATCACTTGTTAATTATTTTCACCCTATTTGTGCATGGTCACAAGTGGACATTTTTATGTATTATAGATCTGTGACTGAAACGGACTGCCACTATCTATTTAAGTACCGTATATACTCGAGTATAAGCCGAGGGGGGCACTTTTCACCCAAAAAAATGGGCTGAAAATCTCGGCTTATACTCGAGTCAGCGCCAGCGCGTCATCTTACTTACCTCGCCGAGCGTCGCTGCTGCTGCGGTGTGCGGCGCTCCGAGCGGGGTCATCTGGCAGTCTCCGGGTCCTAATTTAGGTGGCCGGAGACTGCCAGATGACCCCGCTCGGAGCGCCGCACACCGCAGCAGCAGCGACGCTCGGCGAGGTAAGTAAGATGACGCGCTGGCGCTGACTCGAGTATAAGCCGAGATTTTCAGCCCATTTTTTTGGGTGAAAAGTGCCCCCCTCGGCTTCTACTCGAGTCAGCGCCAGCGCGTCATCTTACTTACCTCGCCGAGCGTCGCTGCTGCTGCGGTGTGCGGCGCTCCGAGCGGGGTCATCTGGCAGTCTCCGGGTCCTAATTTAGGTGGCCGGAGACTGCCAGATGACCCCGCTCGGAGCGCCGCACACCGCAGCAGCAGCGACGCTCGGCGAGGTAAGTAAGAAGAAGAAAAACCCCCCCGCAGCGGCCAGTCAGGCAGGGGAGCAGGGATGAGTCAGCGGCGCGCTGGTCCAGTGGGAGGAGCTCCAGGTGGGGTTGTAATTTAGCGGGCAGGCACCTCTGAGCCAGCTAAATTAGGACCCCACCTGGAGCTCCTCCCACTGGACCAGCGCGCCGCTGACTCATCCCTGCTCCCCTGCCTGACTGGCCGCTGCGGGGGGGTTTTTCTTCTTCTTACTTACCTCGCCGAGCGTCGCTGCTGCTGCGGTGTGCGGCGCTCCGAGCGGGGTCATCTGGCAGTCTCCGGGTCCTAATTTAGGTGGCCGGAGACTGCCAGATGACCCCGCTCGGAGCGCCGCACACCGCAGCAGCAGCGACGCTCGGCGAGGTAAGTAAGATGACGCGCTGGCGCTGACTCGAGTAGAAGCCGAGGGGGGCACTTTTCACCCAAAAAAATGGGCTGAAAATCTCGGCTTATACTCGAGTATATACGGTATACACTGTGGCTCTTTGAATGAATATATTATGATACATTGTGTGAAGCACTTGCTATGTTATCACCTAAAAAAAGAAATGTGCTGCAACCTGACTGATCTCAATACTTGCTAATGACCTCTGAACACTGCATAATTAACTATGGGTACCTGCGGGCACAAGAATTCCATTTATTGAGGTTTTCTGTTGATTCATTTTTTTTTTCTCTGTTGGTGGAACTTGATAGTCTTTTTTTCAACCTAGCCAACTATGTAACAATATTCTTGGGAATATGTTCCAGAGAAAAAGACAAAGGAGCAATAGAATTACAAGCACACGGAGCCCTTGTAATTTGTTCTATCTCGGCCAAATGTCAGAATCATTTTTTTAAGAGTTTGTGCTTTTTTTTTCTTACAATAATCTGTATTTAGGACATAACAGAGAGCGAATGTATGCTAGTTTTTGTTTAGGTGCAAAAAGTTATACTCGTCTGAACCGCTGAGCCGACTCCTGTTTCTCAGGTCTCTGAAGCCTCCTCCCTCCTATGTTGCAGCATTGGAATATTCCTCCACATGCTCGCATCTATACACTGTGTATATAATCTGCTGCAAAGGGGAAGAGAGGCTGGAAGGAAAAGTCTAAGAGCATGCCGGCTCTAAGGTTCGGGTGAATATAGTTTTTGGTTTTTTTGTTTGTTTTCTAGCACCTATACAAAAACGAGCAGTGGGAAGCCCCGCTGCAAGGGTTAATAAAAGTTTTGTCTGGACCATATAGTCCATGTACCTACCAGGCTGGAAAAAAAAATGACATTGCTTAGGAAGGCCAGATCGTGACATGTGTGGGCAGCATTAGTGTCATGTTCTTTGACTGTGTTCGTATTGGAAATCCTAGTTTACCCTTCCAGTTATTGAATATATTGAGTGTGTGTATGTGTTTGTATAAATAATATGTTAATTCATCTACATAGGGTGCTGCCAAAGAAATACTTTGAGGAAATCAGTGCAAATATTAGCAACTTTAACATACATGGCCTGATCATTATTGGCGGTTTTGAGGTAAGTTTTGTACTCTGTAGTGATCTGTTATGCAGGTTGTATTGTATATGTCGGTTATATTCAGTATGCAATTAAGAGATGACTATACTTCAGTAACAAATACTCCAGGAAGAAAATGGGGTCTGTCAGCCTTGCTGGTACATAAAAAATGACCAGTTTGGCATGTCTGATCTATATATAGATTCGTTTTTAGATTGTAAGCCCTCAGGGGCAGGGCCCTCCTTACCATCTTGTCTTAAATTGTATTGTGACTGTAATGTCTTCCTTATATTGTAAAGCGCTGTGCAAACTATTGGCGCTATATAAATCCTGTATAATAATAATAATTTTAGTCTGATTATACATTTGTTTACATCTAAATGAGTGCATCTTTATGTCACAAAGGTATAGGAGTTTGAGACATTGTTTAATTGGATCACTGAGCGCTCTATGATGCCACATACATCACGGTCACATAGACTCCTTTGATAATGGTTACATCTGCGTTGCTATTTCTGTTCTCTGACTTTGTTTTCTACACCTTTCCTGCATGTTGTCATGTGTCCTAGTAGTAATTGTTATTTATCTTGCAGGCATTTACAGGCAGTCTGGAACTAATGGAAGGACGTTCTAAGTTTGAGGAACTGTGTATACCTATTGTTGTTATCCCAGCCACTGTCTCAAACAATGTCCCCGGATCTGACTTTAGTATTGGTGCTGACACGGCTCTCAACACTATTACCACTGCAAGTATTTCACTCTAATCCTCATGATTGTAGCATTCATGGTTCCATCTTTGTTAATGGTGAATAAAAAGGAGCAGCAACTACTTTACTTGACAATGATGACAATGCTGCTTTATTAGGTTATTACATTTCAACTGGGAGAATTTTTTGTGCAGAACCTAGGATGTAATTGGAAAGGGTCTTTTTATTTGTGGAATGGGAAAGGTATTATTTTACCCACAGGCTGCCTCCATCACCCTCTTCCCAAAGTACAATTTGCTGGGTTTGGTGGTAGAAAGCTTTACATATGGAGTAGTGGGGCAAGACTTAGAAATGCAACATGACAGTGCCTTTACTAGTTTAAAGGGAACCTGTAGTAAGACAAATATGCAATGATTGTCTCATATTAAATAATGTTCTAAATTTAGATTTCTTTTCTAAATTTTGTAGAGAGGAATTCATCAGATATCTGGCGGAATGCAATCTATGCAGGTGTAATCCAGAGGCAAAAGACACATTCCTGAGGCTCTACTGCATTTATGGAATTATCCATTTTTCATGCCACAGTGCCAGCAGCATAAAGTTTTGGACCAATGTTCTTAATGTGCTGTAACAAAATGAGGATGCGTCCGCCTTCATATACACTTTGCATATAAGATTATATACATTAAAGCCTCACTTAACCTTCATTTTAAATCGGCTAAACATATTCCAGGTGCATTAAAACAAAAGGTGTGCTTAGTCTTACCATTCGTTTTCTTTAAAAAGCAACCACAGCCTGAGTAGAAAAGCCTAACCCCTGACAGAATGTGCAGCAAGAGACTCTGGCTCTTTATGTAGAAGCAGTGGTCTCTCTGTGGAGGTCTGACATGCCTCCTGCCGAGTGACAGCTAGGGCTTTCTGATCAGCAGGGAGCATGGGTTCAGCAGAGCTACAGTAAAGTTTTGGCTATGTGTTAGACAGACAGACCACTGCTTCCACACAGTGGTTCTTCTCTTCAGAATGCTGGCAGGGGACAGACTTTTCTGCTCATGCTTTACTACTTTTAAATAAAACCATCTGTAAGACTTTGCACACCTTTTATTTGAATGCATCTGGTATTTAGCTAATTTAAACTGAAAATGAATTCGGGTTTAAGTATTACAAATATCTATAGCAATGTAAAAGCAGCAATGCAATGTTTATAGGAAACATTCACTATAGAAACTGTATTCCTAGTTTTGTAAACTTGAGTGTTATCTGTGCTTAGACCTGTGACAGAATCAAGCAATCTGCTGCTGGAACAAAGAGAAGAGTGTTCATCATTGAAACCATGGGAGGTTACTGTGGATACTTAGCTACTATGGCAGGGCTATCCGCTGGAGCAGATGCAGCCTATATTTATGAAGAGCCTGTTTCTATACATGATTTGCAGGTAAATGCAAAATGACAGGTTGGTGTTTGGGGTGCTGTATTTTAATGAGTATACAACTTCCTGATGGCTGGTTAATATTGCTTTAGAAATGACTATTCTGTAACTATACACGAGCGTGTTTTATTTGGCAAAACTCTGGGGTTACCCTTACAGGCTAAACTGGCAACTTTATCTTTTGTTACTCGGCGGGTCCTTGTCTCTTTCTGTCCATTTTATGTTAAACTGCAATAACTGGCCAGTTTTCTTCATACATCAAAAGCCCAGAAGGTGCCTTTGAAATAATAGATGATACCATATAGAAATGAATGTCTACAAAGAGTTGTTTCTAGCTACAAAGCTGCCTGAGGAAAAATCTGAAAAGCACCTTGCACACTTTCCCTGATTTTCACAATGCAGATTGATTTCTTTCACAACAGATAATATAATCTACACCTTAGTATGCGATACCCACTTCCCAGTGTGCATTACTAGGCTTTGCAGGAACAGTGCCAGGGAGTGTTGCCATTTACTAAAAAGACTGCCACGAGAGATGCAAATTACCCAGAGATTGCTGTGGAAGTTGATTTTAACAGGGGGGCACGTAGTCAGGGATTCTCACTCATTGGTGGTGTGCATGAAAAGTTTGGTTTTAGCAGCTCACCTATATCAGATGATTCACTATTCTCCTGGGTCTGCAGATCTCCAAAAAGTTAACTTTACTTAAAGTGCAACTGAAGTTAATTATTTTTTTTTCATCTTGGCTAAAGTGGAGATTAAATAAAACACCTGTCATGTTTTGCTGTCTGTGTACCTGTTAGGGAGATTCCCCCTCTCTATTTGTCTTGGTTACCGCTATCATTTATAGTGAAAGAAAATCTCACATTTTGGGTAGTCATCAGAGCAGGAATAGATCGGAAATCTTCCACTGGGGACACTAGTTCTGGTGACCCTGCTGATCATCAGGGATTTTCCTGTCTTTAGAGGGATTTCCTCTCACTTCCTGTTGTCGCTATCAGACAGAAATGAATGGGACACAGATGGCAAAAACGCCCTCCCTTGCCATATCCAAAACTGAAAAAATTTGACCATTTTTGAAAATAGATATTAAATGATACTTGTTTTTTTAGTTTGGAGTTGAGTGGGGAAGGATTAAAACCCTGTGTCAGGATTAAATGTTATCCATGGCTCCCAGATTTTCTGTCCCAGTGAGGAAATACCTTCAACAAGGAACAAGCAGCAATAATTATTTTTTGTGTATTGAAAGAATAAGTACAATATGCTGCAGGAAGCAGTCCTAATATATAACTTATATTTATTTTTCAATAGCAGAGTCTATCAAGAGTTTACAGCCACAGCATTTTGGGGCATATGCGCAACTCTGCCTTCATCAGGTCAAAGGTTTATTGTGTAGAAGGAATCTGGACCAGTGGTTAATCCTTGGTTTTACTTCATAGTAAGCTGTAGTTAAAACTTGTTCTGTTTGGTTGTCTGTCAGGGTTCTAGCATTTCACTACCGTATTTGCCTTGTATTTGCGTATAAGACAAGTTTTTAGACTTAAAAACATCCCCTGAAAATCAGGGGTTGTCTTATACGCCAGGTATACAATCTGTCAGCCCGCTGGATGTGCGGTAATACTGTATGTACTTCGGCTACGTACAGTATACTCCGCTAAGCCAATCACGGCGAGCGATGTATTCTATTAATGAATACAAAGCCTGCTCAGATTGGCAGAGGTAGTGTACATCGCTCACCGTGATTGGCTCAGCAGGGTATACTGTATGTAGCGAAGCTACCGTACATACAGTATTACACACCCAGTGTAGGTGGGTGAATTAAAAAACAGTAAAAGATAATATACCTAATGAGGAAAACAATAAGTGTCCTTATGTTTGTCAGGTAAATGTGGACCATCTTACAGAAAAAATGAAAACAACCGTGAAGAGAGGTTTAATTTTAAGGTATGTGACATTTAATAATATATTCTGATTGAATGCAAACCATTTTCTTATGAACGCTAACTATTGGCTTGCAACAGTGGTCAGGGATGTGAAAATCTACAAAAAACAAAAACTACTACTTGTCTAAGGACTAAAGCGGTAGACCCAAACTACTTGTCCCTCCTGACAATCTACTTGTCATGATCCAAAAAATAGTTTCAACCAAAACCGTATTTAACCGTGCGCTGTATGGGGTACAGATAGTACACCGGCAGGGGGAAAGGACCGTTCGCTGAAAGGTAAGTATAGCAGGAGGGGAGAGGGGGCCAGATTGAGTGGGTAATTCAATTTTAACAAATTACTTGGGAAAGTGAGCTTAGTAGAATGGGGCAGCACTTAGCGCGCACACACACACAATACTCTACGTGTGCGTTTATTTGCATGCATATGTTAGGGGTGCCGGGGTTCCTTTCAATTTTTATTTCTTTTATTTATTCTTTTCACTTTTTTTTCACTTAACTTTCTCCAAGTTTTAGAATACAGAATGTAGTTCTTCTTAGCTCCCCTAAGCATTGTCTGCATATTAACTGATTACACAACATAACCACAATTACATTTCTTTACGCGTTACCCTAAGGGCTCATTTACACCGACTGGGGCACGTTATGCTCCAAATAATGTGTCACCCACTGGTGTATGTTGTGTAAGGGTTGTGTGATGCATTGCAACAAAAAATATAATTTTTTTTTGCTTTATTAAAATGTTATAGAATTACATTTTATTAACCTCTATGCTTGTGGTGCAGGGACAGTGAGTTACGTAAAAATTCAGGCGTTCTTCATTTTTACGCTATGCACACCACCACCACATTTGGAGTCATAGTAAACAACTGTTTTCTATGTGCCCCCGTGCTGGGCTTGTGTTGATCTATGCAAAACAGATTAGCTCAATGGACGTAGTGTGAAGAAGCTCTAGCAGTCATGTGTGGAAACATTTACCTCATATCAGGAGCTGTGTGTAGTCAAGCCTTCTTTTCAACATGATTTAGATTAATGGTCATGATTAATGGTTTAGATCCAATGGTGCATTATAATGTGTTGTTTGTACATGGTAACTATGGGTGGTTGCCACGGACACACAGGCTGATTTGCTAAAGGAGTTCTTCACTCAAATTCAAATTTAATTTTTCACTTCAGTTATCCAGTCATGTGGAAAGTATCTGCACAAGATTGGATATTCAAAGTGAACAGGAAATTGCTTTTCACATAACTAGATAATTGAAGTGAATAGTTCACTCTATTTTCTGAGTAAAGAACCTGAGTTTTTCCAGGATACTATTTGCATGGAGTTTGCATGTCCTACCTGTTTATGTGGGTTTTCTTCTGGGTATTCTGGTTTCGTCCCACAGAGAAAGACAGACCAGGTTAATTGACTTCTGTCTAAATTGGCCGCGTGTGTGTGTGTGTGCGTTCGTGCGTGCGATGGGGACTGTATACAGTCCTGTGAAAAAGAAAGTACAACATCTTTTGAATTCTATGGTTTTAAATATCAGGACATAATTTTAAAAAATCAGCATGTCTTAAAATGAGGTAAATACAATTTTTCAGATGAACAACAACACATGACATAATACACTGTGCCATAATCTGTTTTACTAGGATAAAGCCAAAATAGAGAACTCATGTGTGAAAAGTGCACCTTATGATTCAGTAGCTTGTAGAACCACCTTTAGCAGCGATAACTTGAAGTAATCATTTTCAGTATGACCTAATTAGTCTCTCACATCATTGTGGAGGAATTTTATCCCACTCTTCTTTACAATGTTGCTTCAGTTCATTGAGGTTTGTGGACATTTGTTTATGCATTTCAGTCAGGCTCAGTTCGGGACTTTTGACTGGGCCATTGCAACACCTTGATTCTTTACTTTTTCAGCCATTCGGTTGTAGATTTGCTGGTGTGCTTGGGATCAATGTCCTGTTGCATGACCCAATTTTTGCCAAGCTTTAGCTGTCAGACAGATGGCCTCACATTTGACTCAAGAATATATTGGCATACAGATGAGTTCATGGCCGACTCTATGACTTCAGGGTGCCCAGGTCCTGTGTCTGCAAAACAAGCTCAAATCATCACCCCTCCACTAGCGTGCTTGACAGATGGTATGAGGTGTTTGTGCTAATATGCTGGGTTGGGTTTTTGCCAAACATGGCGCTGTGCATTATGGCCAAACATCTCCACTGTAGTCTCATTTGTCCAAAGGACATTGTTCCAGAAGTCTCTTGTGGTTTGTTCAGATACATGTTCTTTTTAGAGAGAAGAGGCTTTCTCCTGGCAACCCTTCCAAACAAACCAAACGTGTTCAGTCTTTTTCTAATTGTTCTGTTATGAGCATTAACATTTAACATGGTAACTGAGGCCTGTAGAGTCTGAGATGTAACGTTTGGATTTTTTGCAATTTCTCTGAACACTGCAAGGTCTGACCTACAGGTGAATTTGCTGGGACGTTTACTCCGGGGAAGATTGGCAGCTGCCTTGAATATTTTCCAATTGTGAAAAATCTTCCTCACTGTAGAATTGTGGACTTTAAATTGTTTGGAAATGGCCTTATAACCCTTCCCAGATTGCCAGGCAGCAACAATTCCTTCTCTAAATCACTGCTGATGTCTTGTCTCCTTGGCATTGAGTTAACACACACCTGAATGCTCCAGACCACCAAATTGCTAAAACTTTGGCTTCTATAGAGGTGGTCACGCTGGCTGATGATCAATTAATCAATGGCCTTTGATTTGCAGCACCTGGCTGCAACTTAGCCTCTTCATTCCTATGGAAGCAGTGAGGGTGTACTTAGTTTTTCACACATGAATTCTCCAGTTTGGCTTTACGTTTGTAAAATAAATAATGACACAGTGTTTTATTATTTCACATCACATTTCTTATGTTGTTGTTTATCTGAGGTTGCATTTACCGAATTTTAAGACCTTCTAAGGACCAGATGATTTTTATTAAGACCTGATATGTAAAATCATAGAATTCAAAGAGGGTGTACTTTGTTTTTCACACGACTGTATATAGGGTGCTATATAAGCATCTGTAATAAATAATACTAAAGTCACTATTTGCATATTAGCGTTCTCCATGCTTTACGGCTCCTGGGAAGCTCTACAACATATCTGACCATATGTACAGACATCTCTAGGTGCTTGCGGTGCACGGCTTTCTACAGTTTAGGGAAGTGAAAGTGAGTAGAAGAAGTTCACTTTCTTTAGTTGGAGAAGTAGCTGGGAAGGTAAGGCTAGTATAGAACTAAAATTTCTTTTTTTAGCTAAGTTTTCGCTATGAGAATACCATTTAACACTTTCCTTTGGAGTTTTTTTCAGCCTGAGTTTCATTTGTAAGATATTTTAACTAAATCAAAGTATACAAAGTCACCAGAACTCCAGACTTGAAAATGTGTCTTACAAAATGACACTTCTATGATGCTGTGAGCAGGGGCGTAACTAGAAATCATAGGGCCCCATAGCAAAATTTTGTATGGGGCCCCGTGATTGCTAGTCATGCCACTTGCAGAGCCCCAGCGGAGAGTGAGCCTGCAGAGCCCACCATAGACTCTCTATAGTGGTCTCTGCAGGGTCTGAGATCTCTTACCTGTCAGCGCCTCTGTGGTCGCCGGGCCACGACTCCTGTTCCGTCCCCGGGCCCCGACTCCTGTTCCATCCCCCGCCTCCTCTGCTATCGACGGGCCCCGCCTTCTCTTACATCACTGGCCCCACCTGCTGTTAGGTCGCTGGCCAGTGATGTAAGAGGAGGCGGGCCCCGCCTCCTCCATTCCGAACACTGCCCTCATCTGCCGCAGCGGCTGGCTGTCACTGACACAGCGGCTATGAGGCTATGAGGGGAAATGCGCCGTGGCCGCTGCTGAGCTGTGTTTGTGACAGCCAGCACCCCCACATGCCATAGCGGCCCTGGCCAGGCCCCCCTGTGCCCGGGCCCCATAGTGGCTGCCTGGGTCACTATGGCGATTGTTACGCCACTGGCCGTGAGTAAAGGATCCTGCAAAGCCCCAAAACACCCAAAACATCAGAATATACAGTATGTCTGTGATGCTGTCACAATAAATTTGTAAGATGCATTTTCATGTCTGGAGTGTTGGAGACTTTGTATTCCTTGATCTGGTTTTGGTGTGGCACCATCTGACCCGATCACCATCTGACCCGATCACTATGATCACTCATCTATTTTTTTAAGGTCTGATACCGTCCGGAATGAATTTCATATATAGACTGAATATTTAACTAAACTTACAATAGAAATTAACAGAATTGCTTGTTTGTTCCTTTATCTTATAAAGATGTTGATGAATGGCTAACCTGAAAAAATCAGTTTGTTTTTCTGGTTTTAAAGGAATGAAAAATGCAATGAAAACTACACCACCGATTTTATATTCAATTTGTATTCAGAGGAAGGAAAAGGCGTATTTGACTGCAGAAAAAATGTTCTTGGCCACATGCAACAGGTACGAATACATTCTGAATATATAGCAGTAATGCACTTTATTCTAATATATTAGGCATCCTATACAAATTCTAAAGAGGCTATTGCTCTTACTAAACTGAATTGCTTGACAGATTGCTGGAGAACTCATCTCTAGTGTGTTCATAGTTTTCTCTGAGTTTCTGTGTTGGTCTTACTGTACGTTTGGGTCTCACACTCTGTTCGGCAATATCTGCATAATCTGCTCCCTGTACGTCTGCGGGTTCAGAGGCATGATGTATCTGCGTTGGTTCAGCCATAAAAGAGTATTCAGAGCCTTGTCTAGACATTTTTCACGTTTTTTTGCAAAAAATGGTACTGTCTCTTTAAGAAGACGAACAGCATATATTAACTGAGGCTATGCATCTCATATTCTATGTCCCTATTGGGGCGGCACAGCTGCTGTAATTATTTCCTTTCAGAAAGTTGTCTAGAGCCTGGAGTTCAGTTTTAAAATACGCCTATCATGAGAGTAACATATAAGCTGCCATTTGCAGATCACCTTATGAAAATGCAATTTTCTAGTCTGTGTCGCTGTCGTCACTAACTTCAGAATTACAGACCTTGAATAAGCATGCAGCAGGTCATGGGAGAACCATGGAGAGGGAAGCCTGTTTTGAAATCCATTATTCTTCTAAGTAATGTAGAGGACACTAGAGTCAGCATGACAACAAAGCAGGCAGAACTAAATCAGCAATGGCTGATAGTATGTTTCCTTTAAGATTAGGCACCACATGGCACTTAGATATATTTAGACTATAAAGCTTTGGGTCCCCCAAACCCGACCACTACTGACTTAGTCTTCATTCCAAATCACAGCTTTAGTATGGCCTAAACACCCCACTATTCAATGGCGTGGCATGAATGTCTGTTCATGACCCAGATTTAGGGGATCCTTATCAACTTAGGTAAATATTTGGAAATAAGCACATGAAATCCAGCTTCTGGAGTCTGCTCTTAAAGCTGTGTCTGAAAAAGCCAGGCAGAAGGCAATGGACTGTGATGCCTGTGGTCTCCCTGCATTTCCCATTTACTGACTTGCCCTGCTTTGTGCTGCACTGTGTTTCCGGGTGTAGTTGGCCATCTTGGTAGAGTAGTAGGGCTGTGCTTCCTTTTGTCAGAGCTTCCTCCCCGGATAGCTGGTGATCTGATATCTGATGCGGGAATATCCAAGATGCAGCAGGAGAGCAGTCACAGGTAGAAGTTCCTCTTACATTACAAATATACATCTATGAGATCATAGGCACACTTGCATACCAGGAAGGTCACTACTATTTCAAGGAGGAATTCAAGGCAAAATTAACATTTTCAGGATACTACTTGGAAACAATTAGCATTGCTTGATGTTCCCTATCGCAAATCTTCACTTTATGAATTCAATAAAATGGCCTGGATGGGAAGGGGGTTTAACACCGCGGATGTCAACTGGTTAAAACCTGCTTTTGTTTTGCATTAAATTGTTTTGTCAGGTTCATGTTAGAGAGTCAGTTGAACGAAAATAGATATTTTAACTATAAATGGAATCTGGTAGGTTCTACACAATGAAAAAAAAATCCAACAGGGTGAGTGGGAAGCCTTCATAGTGGCCACAACAGGTTTGGAGACACAGGAAGTCAAGCACAGAAACTTTTAAGAAAGTTCTTTATCAATGAACAGGAATCCTCTATACTGAGTGTTCCTGTTCATTCATAAACATGAGAACAGTGTATGTTCACTATAACCACAATCATTAATGAACAGGAGGTGATGTAGATCAAGCCCATTCATTCATAATTGAGGATATAGTAAACATACTCTGTCCTCTATCTATAAACACTCAGGGATCACTGATCCCTGAGTGTTTGTACCTCTCTGACACGCTGTCACAGGAGGCTGAGCGAGCGGTGCGGGAGGAGAGCTCAGCCTCCTGTGACAACACTGGCTGTCTGCGCTCAGGAGAGAAAGAATGGATGCACCGCTGTATCGGTCAGAAAATGCCATTTTCGGCTGATATGTTTCCGCGGCCGATATATCGGTGCATCCCTAATAAATATGCCACTTTTGTACTTCTTTCTTATCTTCTTTTTTTCTTGCCTGGAAAGATGGGCAACAGCTGTCTGATCATTTCAGGTAGATTTATTTGGCGACGTACACTGTACGTCGTCAGTCACGAAGGGGTTAAACATTGAGGCTTCCTTGATCGGTTATTCCTTTAAGGACAAGAAGAGCTTGTAGCTGCCTATATGTTTAGACTTTTTCTATTCCTCAGTCATACCAGAAAAACATTCAGCCATAACACTGTGGTAAGATGAAGAGCAGGGTTACAGTAATGTGTATAAAATTATGTGTATATTGTAATATTCAGGGCGGATATGACCCGTAGCCAGCCGTATCAGACAATAAACTTGTATTCATTTCCACAAACAGTCAAAGTAAATGGCTTATATTCAGCAAACACAAGACTTCGGCTCAGCACCTGTATACTAAGTCCCACCTCAGGGTTAGAGTCCCAGCCTGCGCACAGAGGGTTCCAGTATGGACGCAGGTGCCCCAGCAATGTCTCGGCAGACTGTATTCCACAGCCTAACACACATAGCCATGTGTCCTATTCCAAACACTCCACACAGCCAGACTGACTGGCTTCCTGTTCCTTTTTAGCACACCCTCTGGCTGGTGGTTTAACCCTTTCATTTCCAGAACTGGCTGTAGTCAGGGATGGAGGATCTGAATACAAGGTGACTTTAACGGAACCACCACCTAAACAAGGGAGGGATATACCGTCCATCCAGGACCCATTCCTGGCGTCCTGTACAATATAAATAAAATATTAATACTAATATAATTAAAAAGGCAAGCATGGGAATGTATCTGCTGCTCTCAACTACTGTTTTATTTAATAAACTATTATTTTCCAATGGGGCGTTTTCTTTTTTGTTTGTAGTACATACATAAGAGTACATACTCTTGTATGTAGAATTTGTTAATTACAGGAATCCACAACAAACCATAATAAATGTAAATAAAAGCTGTAAACCGGCACAATTAGATTTAGGAAATATCACATTACATTTTACTAGAAGCTGGAAGGAATGTTCTCTTCGACCTGGGTCTAAACATTGTTAATGGCAAGCATCTGATAATTGGTACGACTTCCTATACTATTGCTTTCTTTTCTAGGGAGGAACACCCACCCCATTTGACAGGAACTTTGGTACAAAAATGGGTGCAAAAGCCGTGCTGTGGATAACTGGAAAAGTGAAGGAGTGTTCTAGACATGGTAAAACACCCCAAAATGTTTTATGTAGAATGACTTCTCTTCTGTAGAATTACTTAACTTCTGAACTTTAACTCTATTGTAGGTCGCATATTTGCAAATACAGCAGATTCCGCCTGCTTACTGGGAATGCGCAAGAGAAGCCTAGTTTTCCAGCCATTGGCGGACCTGAAAGAACAAACTGATTTTGAGTATGTTTTTGTTTTTTTTTTTACAGCCATTACATTGCACACTCATAAGATTCATTAACATGAAAGTCTAAAACTGGCCATACACTGATAGATTTTCATATAAGTGTTCATATTAACAAATGTTCAGTATGAAAAAATGTCAATGTGAAAACATTTGATGAGGTCATCATGTCTTTTGACGTTTCATTTGATTTTGGAATGAATAGAGTTTGTCAAACAAAAATCTAATTTACTGTTTGATGGACTTATGTCTTTATTCAGCCTCAAATACTATGTAACAATGCAACTAACTTTGTATGAGAGAAAAAAAAAAAAACACATTTTTTTTTGGTCACTATTGAAATTAGCCCTATTAAAAGGAGAACTATGGGGTCAGGGCTTTTCCCCATAGTTCTCCTAAGGGTCACAGGAGAACACAACCTAGCGTTCTCCCATGACCCAAAGCTCAGTATACCGCGAGCTACAGCTCGCGGTATACTGAGACGCCGCAGCCGGATCCCGACAATACTGTCTGGATCCACCCAAATGCAGGATTGACAGCTGGCTCTGCCTATCCAAAGGCAGAGCCAGCTGTGCCCGCCCCCTCCCCCGTCCGTTTCGCCAGTCAGGACCCACGTTGAAGTCTCTTAAAATTGTGAACTCAAGTAATAGTCTTAATGATCTTTGTGAGCAAAGGCAGATTAGGCAAATCCTATAGGAATCCTGGACTGTAATATACACACTTGGCAATAAACCTGAAATCCTTTATATTCAGAGTACCCAGCAATGTATATTCGTAAAGGGTGAAAATCCCCTCCAATGTTCAAAGACTTGGGTAGGAGCTAGACACTGAGGAGTCACATGACTGTGTTTGGCTCTGACAAAGTCTTCTATCATGATAAAGTATTTGAGGTTGAATAAAGACATAAGTCCATCAAGTCCAACCTATTGTGTGTATGCATTTATGTTTGATCTGGTGTATGCGTGTGTATTAGTCCATGTGTGATTTAGATCTTAGGCGTACTGTACCCCTGTATGTTATGATCTCTAATGAACTCGTCCAAGAGTTTCTTGAATGATTCCACACTCTTGGCTGCAATCACTTCCTGCGGCAGTGAGTTCCAGACCCTAACCGCTCTAACTGTGAAGAACCCCTTGCGCCCCGTGTGTTGAACATTTTTTTCCACCAATTTTTGGTGGTGCCCTCTGGTCTTTGTTACGGAGCTAACCGTAAAGAGTTTGTTAATAATGTTGCTGTCACCCTTGAACAGTTTATACAAGATAATCATGTCCCCCCTAATCTCCTAACTTCCAAAGAGAACATATTTAATTTTAACAACCTTGCTTCATAGTTCAGGTCCTCCAACCCCTTAATGAGTTTGGTTGCCCTCCGCTGGACTTTTTCTAGCTCAAGGATATCTTTTCTGAGTACTGGTGACCAAAACTGGACCGCATACTCCAGATGAGGCCGAACCAGTGATCTGAAAAGTGGTAATATGTATGTGAACCTCTATGTATCTCTGTGTGTAGAGCCAGTCTAACTTAAGAGTCCCCATTGGTTTATGTATTGTTGTGTTGACGTCAAGACCTTATCTAACGAAAACCTGTAACTTATTAGTTGAAGAATATTTTTTAGGAGGTAAGTGTGCTGTGGGTTAAGCAGGAACATTTTTTTTCCAGTGAGGCAGAAACCCACAACATCTGGGCATCTGGCACAAAATTATTGTCTTTGAGAATACTTCTAATACCTCTTCATGTCTAGCTAGAGTGTGGCATCATACCTCTCTGATCAGCAGAAACAACAGATCATACACTTGCTACATACTCAGATGTATGTTATGGCAGTGCAGTCATTTCCACCCACTGTGCTTCTGCAGATAAATGTGTGCACATAAGATAACGCTGAGCTTTTCATGCAGTATGTGTGAAGATCATCAATAAATGAAAAAACATAAATCAAATGTTATGTGACACTTCATTCATGTGTTTTCTATCCATCCTCCATATAAAAGTCTGGTTTGGAAGGCACATTGTAAAAATTGACCTAAAGACTAGAATTGGCTCGAGGTCCTCTGCTCCTATGAAATAACTGCCCTGAAATACTTATTTGTTCACTGATGTGGACCCCTTTCTGGTGTGACTAGCCACTGCTTGTCTGATGCATCTGCTTCATTACCACAGCCAAGGGTGAGTTTTGTGTGTGAAGGGGGGTATTCAATCAGTGCCTCTTATGGTGGCCATCAATGTAATGATCTGTGACCAATTTAGGTACCAGTGATTGACAGAATTCTGCCACAGCTGATCATCATGGCAGAGTCAAAATAAACGAAGTTCATTAAATTGATCTGATGGAGGATCATTGTTTTGCAATTTTTATTCAATACGATCTATTTACAGTATTTGCATTGAAAGATCTATTGTATGATCATATTGATACTTGTGTGGCTTCTTTAGGTTAGGTAGGTCAGGGCATACTTCTGCAAATGTTATATTTTGACCACAGGATATAAGGTATAAAAGAATATGACATTTGTGCATGTATATGTAAAGATGATGTATTTTTCAATGTGTTTTAGACATCGCCTGCCCAAACAGCAGTGGTGGTTGAAACTTTGCCCCATTCTCAAGATTCTGGCTAAATACAACATCAACCTGGACACATCAGAGGCAGCACATTTGGAGCACATCACCCGGAAGATATCTGTAGAATCCTAAATCTGGAATATGAGTGACATGTACTTTTCACCTCAAAGGGCTCTTCACTGTTATTGCCATAAATTAGAATAAACCAGTTTCCTACATGTCATGGAGGAAGCTATCCTGTATGCTGAAACAGCAGTGACTAGAATGCTTCTAAAACTTTGAAATGTGTGGTATATTGGAGGCTGGAAATATATGTTGCTTTTAGTCTTGATTTCCACATTTTGCATTTATGATGTTAGGTTTAGATTACAGCATGGCTTACTCCCATTATGTGTAGGTAATGGTTGCACTTTTACTTCAGGCCCTGGTTGATTACTGTTACTTTCATATCATTTTTTTTCTCTCTTGGTTTGTGTAGAGTGATAGTTTAAAAACTTGTCCATAAGACACTAAAGCAGCAAACGTTGCATCCTTTAATGTGACATCAGAGCACATGTCTTGAAATAACGATTAGTAAAGGTGCCAGTCACTGCATGTTGTAATACGTTTTCCTAAAATGAAAGATGAAACCGATACAGTGTTTCATCACGTCTGCTTTCCAGACTTCTAGTGTGTCAAATCTGGAGGGAAGGAGAAGTAGAATTGTTGACCTCAGAAACCAGTTAAATGTTTGCTATACCTTTCTAGCACTAGAAGAACAACCTCTAGCGTATGGTTGGTTATAGCAACCAACCATACGCTAGAGGTTGTTCTTCTAGCGGGCAATGTGGCTGTTTTCATTTCTCTATAAATGATGCACAGAATTAGACCATTTTATGATTTTTCATTATTCTGGTACTCTTTTAAGGTGATAACCCATCTATTTAAATAAACTCTTGAAAACTTTGTTTGTGTTTCATATTTACCATTTTAATACCTCATCTCAACTCACAAAAGGCCCCATTGATTACAAAAATGTTCTTTTTGTTTTTAAAAGAGAACTATGTAAGTGTTTATGTACATGTCCTCCCGCTTAAGGGTCACGGGAGGACATATACTGTATTAGCGTCCCCCCGTGACCCAAAGCTCAGTATAAAAACATACACACCCATCGCACTCTGGACCGGATAGAAAACCCTAATTCTAGGGTGAAATGACCGTGGATGCCTCCGCAAAATAAATTCAAAAAAGGTCACAAGCACTCCAGCATGTAGAAAAGTCAATGTTTATTGACTTCACAGGTGTCACATCATCAGAGCGACGTTTCGGAACAGCAAAGTCCCTTCCTTAGGAAAACTTTCATTATCTGTTTGGCCTGAGGAAGGGACTTTGCTGTTCCGAAACGTCGCTCTGATGATGTGACACCTGTGAAGTCAATAAACATTGACTTTTCTACATGCTGGAGTGCTTGTGACCTTTTTTTGAATTTTTTCCAAAGCTCAGTATATCGCGAGCTACAATGCTGTCGAGATCCACCCAGCAGCGTGAATGACAGCTGGCTCTGCCTATCTAGAGGCAGAGCCAGCTTTACCCTCCCCCGTCCGTTCCGCCAGTCAGCGCTGGAGGAGGGGGGAATCCCTGTTACCCTGTCAGTCACCACTCCCTGCAGGGACATGATAGAGAAGTGAGCGAGCTACGGTATGCGTTCGCTCACTTCCCAATCTATTGAACCGAAGTGTGACAGTTTAATTGTCACACGTCGGCTCAAACTATGAGGAGGAGTGATTTTCATTCGCCTCATAGTTCTCCTTTAACTGCTTGAAGGCCAGGTGTTTATACCCCCTTCCTGGCCAGGCCATTTTTCAGTATTCAGCGCTGCGGTACTTTGACTGACATTTATTCAGTCATACAACGCTGTACTGAAATGAATTTTATACCATTTTTTGGGGACAGATAGAGCTTTCTTTTGGTGGTGTTTAATCACCACTGCGGTTTAAATGTTTTACTATAATTAGGAGAAATTACTGAAAATGTTTTAAAAAATATTTTTTTTAAAACATGGTTAGGAAACATTTATTATTACCCAGTTTTTTGGTAAAATATAAAAGTCGGGGTCACGTCGGGTAAATGGACACCAAACATGTCAAGCTTTAAAATTGCGCGCACCCGCGAAATCGCAGAAAACTACCATACCCAAAATTGGCCATAGGTGGCGCTTTAAAAGCTTTTACCGCTCATCAGTTTAGTGTTATCAGTGATTGATGGGCCTAGAATTATTGCTCTCACTGTGACGTTTGCGGCAATATGTAACATGTGCATCGTAATGGGCGCAATCGCCATTTTTTCACGTATGCGCCCGACGCATGTTTGCGTGCATGTATATATGGGTGGGGACTTAATGTTTTTTTTATTTTTTATGTTTAACTTTAAAAATAAAGACAAAAGACTTGCACATGAGAGTATACATCTTCAAGTCTACAGTATATTAAATAGTATGATCCACAATATAGCAACATCCTCAAAATCAATAAGGCATCATTTCTCATCACAGTCAAAAAGTATGAAGAAAATATAGAAAAAGATTGTAAAGAAAAGGGAGAAAAAGTTGAGATAGGACAGTGACCGCTGGGCAAATATTAACAAGGATGAACGAAGACCAGGACCTTTGCCTAACAGCAAAACCCATAAATACGAGATACAATCTACTTGAAAAGACAGATTATGGGAAGCCTCAATATTTCAAAATATCAAAATATTATCGGGAACTAACTGTAAGCTAGATTTGAACAGTGTCTGCCTTTAACAAAGGGTTACAGATCTAGAAACATTGGAGGGAATTTATTAAAGCTAGAGCAAACATAGTCTGAGCAGTTGCCCATGGCAACCAATCAGCATCTCTCTTCAGTTTGCCCAGACCGTTTCCTTTCACTTGGAAATTGAGAGAGAAGCATGCAAAGACCTACTAGACAGACACATGTAAAAGGTATGCTATGTGAATGGGAACACCTAACAAACATATAATGAGGTTTTCTAAAATTTGACCGCAAAGTGGAAATACACTTTAAAGGCCATCCAGCACGCCCATATCCTGCAGAACATTTCCCCACTATATACACAGAGCGCCACAGCCGGGATGCATCCCGACAATACTGTGGAGATCCACCAAGCTGGCCGATTGAGAGCGGGCTCTGCTTATCTAGACAGAGAGCCTGCTGTGCCAGCCCCCTCCCCATCCGTTCTTCCAGTCAGCACTGGAGGATCGGAGAAGGAAGGGGAGAATCCCTGCGGGAAGCGGTGACTGGCAGTCACCACACTCTGCAGGGAGATGATCGGGAAGTGAGCGAGCGACAGTATGCGTTCGCTCACTTCCCGATCTATTGAGCCGACATGTGACAGTTTCATTGTCACAGGTCGGCTCTAACTATGAGGATGAGTGGAAATCACTCATCTTATAGTTCTCCTTTAAAGTGTTGGTAGTGCCCTCTAAGGCCTCATTCACATTCACATATGTACGTGCATATTGTATCATATGCAACACATGCAAATAAATGGCTCCATACACATAGCCGCGTATGGAGCCGTATATTTGCGTAGCGTATATATGTGCAAAAACAGAATGGAACAGAGATGCGTCCGGGCAGTGTATTTTTGCGTGTTTACGCGTATATATGCACACAGCACAATAAAAATTCCATTACGAGTGATGCATTCTGGGATTGCATATAGTGCATACATATATGTGCATAGACGCTCGTATATATGCGCATAGACGCGTATATACGCAATATACCATTTTGCTTGCGTTGTGTGTGAATGAGGCCTTAGGCAGCAGGATGGTGATGTATTCCTTTTCAGTTCCAGGAGCCTGGTGCAGTATATTTTGGTCTAGCAAAAAGCAAATGTGAATTTCTCTGTTTGGAACAATGCCAACACTAAAGGACAGACATCACCTCTGCACTCACAGTGCAACCCATAACTAGCTAATACATTCTCCTGTCACCCATCCATACTTCATTTCCATAAAAAGGGAGATTTAAAAAAATCTGCCAAAATTCCAATCATTCACTACAGCTGTTGACCTTTGTTGGTATAATTCCTTCTCCAAAACATACAAAAAGAACAAAGTTATAAAAGTAACTCTTAATACTGATGAAGGGGGATATTGTGGACCCCCAAAATGCATTAGCTGTTTCATTCTAATATTCTTTATGAATAAAATACTATACTGGACTCTACTATCTGCAGTGGCACCCCCATTTTGTTTTTGTTCCACATTTGGTACCACTGGAGACCCCATATACCCCTTGAGAGGAGCTCCCCCAAGAACATTTGACACCTAAAAAAAGAGAATTATTGACAAATCTTGCACCTCTTCCACAAATCTCAAAACCCCCTCCTGAGTCTGAGCTAGAGCTCTTCAATCAGCAAAGTTCATGGTCTGCTATTTGGAAAGCTCCAGCTCAGACTTGACAGGGTGTGTGTTGGGCCTCTGCTGAGAGACAACGCATTGAAGGGATTTTATCAAAGCTGGAGCAGACAAAATCCGGAGCAGTTGTGCATGGCAGCCAATCAGCTTCTCTCTTTCATTTTCAAATCGTAACTGAACAAAATAAGAGAAGCTGATTGGTTGCCCTGGGCAACTGCTCCAGATTATGTCTGCTCCAGTTTTGATAAATCCCCCCCCCCCCAGAGATTGTGTTCTTGTCTGCAGCATGCTGGCAAGGGACAGGTTTTTGTACTAGGGCTGTGGCTGCTTTCTTGACGAAATAAGTCCCATTATCGGTGTCGATAGGAAAAAAGCCTCAGTCGTGGGTGTTGGTGTGCTAAAATCAGTCTCATCATTGGTATCAGTTAAACAAAATTATTGTCAATTGTTGGTGTCGGTTGGAGCAAAATGAACCCCCAGCCGTGCACTGGTGCCTCTCAGTCGGCCCACAACTTTGCTTTGACTGTCAGGCGGAGGATTACTCAGCCCGACACGCTGCCAGCATAATTGCTGTGCTTGTTGACATTCCAATACTTGGCACTCAAAACTTCAGGAGATTCAGTCAAGCTCCTGGAAGATCACTACAAAATATCAGGTGACTCCCAACTTTGCCCAGTGTGCTTATATTTGATATATCACTGCCCAGGAAAACGTGGACTTTGTGGAATCAC